TAGGATCTAAAATGTCTGCCTCTATGGGAATTTCCTGTTCCTTCTCTGGATTTGTCCCTCATAAAGAGCCATCTGGGCTCAATGTGAAGGCACTTAACTCTATAGAGTGGATTAGTAGGATTGAACCAGTGTAATCCACACTAGCCCAGTGTTATTGGCCTCATTAGCACCACAAAAGCAATTTCCCCTCCCTTGGTATTTACCCCTTCTTGTCAACTGTTGAGAATAGGCCACTTCCACCTTAATTGAATTGGCTCGTTAGCACTGACCCCACACTTGGTAAGGCAACTCCCATATTTTCATGTGCTCTAGTATATATTCTGCTTACTGTATTTTTCATGCCATGCATCTGATGAAGTGGGTTTTAGCCCATGAAAGCTTATGCCCAAATAAATTTGTTAGTCTCTGAGGTGCCACAAGGACTCCTCATTGTTTTTGCTGATACAGACTAACACGGCTACCCCTCTGAAACCAGTGTTATTTTTGTCTCCCTCTACTGGCTGATCCTCAAAAGGATAAAGCCTGTCACTGCTGCCAGGTAAGGAGGTTGCTCCCTTATTTCACCTGATACAGGCTCATACTTTTAAAGTTAAAGGTTCCAGGTTCAAATCCTACTGACAGCCCAAACAGAGGCTCATTTTACCAGAATGCAAGCCTAGTTTTCCAGGGCCTACCTGTTGACTCTTCAGATAAGAAGCAACAACCTAATTTTCCCCATTATTCCCCATCTCGGGAGGTTGTGCTTCTAGGTAGAAAACTACAACTATAGCCAGACACAGCAAATAGAGGTTAAAAAAAAAAAGATAAGCTAAGAAAGGCCCAGGTGCACAAAACAATAAATAGAGAAATAAACCATAGAAGCCTTGAGACTTTCTTGTTTAGGGTCAGCAATGTATAGCTGGGATCCTTGGCACGCCTGGCCAAGGAGTGATTGCTAACATAATGAAAAGTTATTGTTAGCTCTTTTGAGGTGAGATTATTGGCATTAATAATTACCACCAATGAAATAATATATGGGAATTTTGGGATCATTAGTGACAATGCCCAAGAAACTCAAAGAGCGAACAGAAATGGTAGGAGCAATAAGAAATGTGCTATTTGGGTAAATATAGAGCACAGATAGCTTTGTGAAAGATGTTAATAAACATTTAAAAGAGGATGAAGCACATCTTGCAACAGAAACACTTAACAACCTATTCATTTCAGGGTCCCAACCTTACTTCTTAAAGGGAAATCAGGTTTTTGTAACAACCTACATATATCAGGCAGGCATACATTTTCAATTACATCTTGTCATCAAATTTCACCCATTATCATAGACCCAAGACTATCAGACTAGTCACATCCCATCTGTTTAGATCAGGTCAGATTGATTGGCAACCACAAAGCTGCTAACCATCTACATGAGATTCTAAATATTAGATTTTTCTAGACACATTTTTCACAGAAAGAAAGTTAGGAGGCAAATCCTCAGGTGTCATGAAGTAGCATAGCATCAATGATTTCTATGGGGCTTTGCTGATTTATGCTAGCTGATCATCTAGCCCTAGATTTTTACCAACACATGTTGAAATGGTTGTATGTTTCAGGTATTGTCCAGATTTGGTTTCACTACTCATTAGACTGAGCATGCTACCATCTAAATCAGTGGTCACCAACGGGTCAATCGCGATTGACTAGTCGATCCTAGAGGATCTCCCAGTCGATTGCGATCTGTGGTGGCACAGTGGGGCTGCTGCTAAGACAAGCTCCCTGCCTGCCCTGGCCCCATGCTGCTCCCAGAAGCAGCCAGTGCAGCCCCAGGGGCGGGGGGGGGGGGAGGCAGGGGTCTCCCTCTGTGTGCTGCTCCTGCCTGCAAGCACCGTCCCCGCAGCTCCCTTTGGCCAGGAACAGGGAGCTGTGGCCAATGGGAGCTGCAGAGGCAGCACTTGCAGAGAGGGGCAGCGCACAGAGTCATTTGCCACCCACACCTGCCCCAGGGGCCACGGGGGCACGTTGGCCCCTTCCGGAAGCTGCGTGGGGTCGGGTTAGGCAGGGAGCCTGCCTTAGCGGAAGCCATGCTGCGCAACCAACCGAGGTAAGTGTTCCCAGCAGGAGGCCGCACCCCAACCCCCAGGCCCCTCCCAGAGCCAGAACCCCAAATCAGCCCTGAGCCCCCTCCCGGAGCCAGCACCCCATATGCATTCCTGCACCCTGAATCCCCTCCTGCATCCCAAGCCCCAGCCCTGACCCAGCACTCCCACCCCCTCCTGCATCCCAACACTCTGCCCAAGCTCTGACCTTCCAGAGCCAGCACCCCATATCCCTTTCTGCACCCCAAGCCCCTGCCCCAGCCCTGATCCCCTCCCAGAGTCAGCACCCTATACCCCCTTCCACACCCCAACACTCTGCCCCAGCCTGGAGCCCCCTCCTGCACCCAAACTCCCTCCCAGATCTTGCACCTCTCACCCCCTTCTGCACCCCAACCCCCTGCCCCAGGCTCAGCCCAGAGCCCCCTCCCACACTGCAAACCCCTCGGCCCCAGCCCAGAGCCCACACCCCCTCCCGAACCGCAACCCCTTACTCCAGCCCAGTGGAAGTGAGTGAGGGTGGAGGAGAGTGAGTGACGGAGAGGGGTGGGATGGAGCGAGTGGGGAGGAGTATTAGGGAAGGGGTGGGGCCTCAGGAAAGGGGCGGGGTAAATCCTGGGTTGCCCTTAAATTCCAAAAGTGATCTTGGGTGTAAAAAGGTTGGAGACCACTGATCTAAACAATTGCCTGTCCATCATCACTTTAGTGAATGGACACATCAGAGAGCCCTGTGTTTCTCTGTGGTATGCCACTCTTGTGTATTGTTTTTATTATCAAACAGCTGGCGATTACCATGTCTTCCTGAAAAACCTGACTCCAGAATCCTTGAGCATCCTGTTGAAAAAGAAAATTCTTTGATTGCAGAAGTTCTATTTAGGGGTTACTCTGCTGGAATTTATTCCTATATAGCTCTAAGAAAATGACATTTCTTGCAACAGTGAAGTGATACTTGGAAAATCTGTGATTTGTTATTCACCCCTCCGAACCAAGTAACTTTCATGATAGCTTCTAATTATATAAATTACAGGATGCCATATGGTAGCATTTTCAAAAATGCTCTGCTGAACTCTTCTTCCACTGAAGTCAAAGGGACTGTAATTGTTAATTTTGAGGGAGCAGAGTTAGGCCAATACTGAGTGCTTTTTTTTTTTTTAGTTTGTTGCCAACTCTACATAGCAGGAAGTCACCAGACAAACCCTGAAAAGTCACTAGATGTGGCTGTTTAAGCACTCAAAAGGAGTCAAAAATGCCACTAAACAAAATTTCCAGAGAATTCAACAGAGAATTATACACACACACATGCTTAGACAAGTATAGTCCCAAAATCATTCACAAGCAGCTCAATAGTGTTAATAAAAATCCATTCCATGCTCGTCTTATTACATTCTGTTGGACACCAAGTCAATATTCTGTCTCAACTGAGCATGTCCTCGGAAGGAATTGCATTCCAGGGCTTCTTGGGCTGAGATCACTATAATCTGCAGACGAGGAAAAAAAGTTTGTGGAGGCTAATTAAATATTTTGCTCAGATACTAATGGAAGCCACATAAAAACCATAGATAGAGTTCTGTGTTCATCAGTAAGCTTTATCTGAACAGTGCTTCAATATTTTCTTATTTAAACACATATTTTACTGCACTCATATGGCAATAAAAATGGAACATTCATCACAGCTTAGGTAATTAGAACCCAACTTTCTACTCTCATCATCCCTTACTTTAGGATATAATAAAGAACAACAGTATTTACAGGTTAGCATGTCATTTTATTATAGTGAATCTTATTTACATGGTTCAGATCTAATATTGATTTTTTTGTTCATTTAAACAAAAATGTACTTAATACATTATCTTTTGGAATAAAGTGAAAATTATTAATAGAGAACATGATAATTATTAAAAATATATTTTTAAAACGCTTTAGAAGCTATGATGTTATGCATTAAAAAGGCAGATCTGGGATGTGTGACATGGCTTAAATATACTAGCATTTCACGGCTGGAGACCTTGCCTCCAGTCTGATTTAGTTCGCAGGTAAGATGCGTTCAGTGGTCTCAATTGAGGTTACAGACACTTGCCCAAATTATAATTCAGCACATTCAAGAAGAGAGCCCTAGCCCTGGAATAGGAGGGGCAGTGCAGGCTGCTGGTGAGGTGCTGGGTTAATTTCTTACTTTTCACGGGCACTAAAATTTCACCAAAATATACAGATTTTTTTTTAAAAAACGTCTTATCACCCCAGAGTTGCTCTTGCCTGGCTATAAAAATTAAACAGATACCAAAGGGACCACCATTGAGCATCATTCCACTCCCATGTCTTTATAGGGATGGTCCCAAGCCCTGAAGTTTAGATCAGGAGAAAGATCCAAACTTCCTAAACATTTCAGTGTCTGTGTATCTACAGATGGCCTGAAATACAGCTCCAGTCATTTGCTAACTCTGCGCCATGTCCCTGTGCTGACTATCCGTAGTCAGAAAATCTGTACATAGATTTGCAGTGTCTAGCCTTGTTTCACTATTGCACTAGATCTCCCCTGAGCTGGAATTTGTGTACCTAAACAACCAATGGCCAGACATTGACACTATATGGCTGTATCTATCTGGGGATAGGGACAACTTTCTCTGGGACAAAATGAGTGCCCGAATAAGGGAAGAACAGTCAGGCAACTTGGGATTTTAATCTCTCTCTGAGATACAATGGAGGCGGATTTTAGTGTATCCACAGAAGCACTAACTGGCTGCATCTCACTAAAATGACAGCAAGGGAGGGCAGGTTACTACAAGGATGGACAAAAGAAAAAGGATCACATTTCCAGTTAATTGAAACATACCGTCTCTTATTCAGCTAATGGAGGGAAGGGGGCCCCACCAGACTGTATTCCTGCTTGTAGCCTCGGCTGTTTGCGTGAGCCCTTTCGGTCTAGTAATCAGTTATCCAATAATTTGATATGATTATAGTACACAGAATCTATAGTGTTGTATATTTTTACACCTCTTAAAAAAAAAGCCTGAAAATATAAGACATTAGACCATAATTACACTGAGTAGAAACACATACTCTTTACCACTTAGAGCTTGTGAAATAATCAGACTTTCTGCTCTCCTAATCATGACAAGTTGGCAAATGTAGCGACAATGAAGAATTCGAGCTAACTCCTGCCTCCCTCACATACGAGGTCAATGGCACTTGGATAAGGCAGCCTCGGAAGACAGAAAAGAAACAGACTCTTCAAAAGAGACTCATGTCTTGGTTGCTGATAGATTCATTGTCCTGAATGTACTGGAGAATGTCTACCTCGTCCATGGTTTGAATCTTGTCTTCTTTCAGCTTTGCTGGAGGGGCTGGACTAACATTGTTCTTAGTGGTGATTAATGGCTTCTTAAGCAATGCTGGTTTATGTGGCAGCCTGGGTTTTGGCTTGGAACTCACTCTCCAGAGCCTCTCTAAATCCTCTTCAACCCTAACGAAAGAAAATAAAAACACAAAAACACACATGACTCCTCATTGGAGCTGACTGGGAATTTTTTGACTAAAAATATTTTTCCTCAGAAAATGCCAATTCACTGAAACTGAAACTTCATGGGAAAGGGTTGATTTCAACATTTCCCATTCTGAAAATTCTGGAAACTTTGAAATTGTCACAGAAACCAGTAAAATGAGACACTAAATGAAAAGTTCCATTTTTTTAAATGTGAAATGACTTTTCATTTAGAAATGCAAGTTAATGTAGAATAAAGAAAAAGTTAAAAAAATTGAAATGGAAATAAAACCCTTTCCGTTGAACCAAACTGAAATTTTTTTTTCCTATTCACAAAAGTTTGAAATTGATTTTTTGCCTCAATTTGGAATGGGAAAATATTTTTGAAATCTCACCATTTTTCACAGGACAGGTAAACTCTTTCCTGCCCAAGTCTGCTTCTCAGATGAACAAGATGAACTACATATCTAGCCTCTAACTCTGATCTGGATAAAGTTAACCACAGAATGGCTTGTTCACACATGCTCCTGTGAAACAGAAGGCTCTTTTGATCTGTGTGCACTATGCTTTTTTAGGGTAACTTTTCCCAACATTCTAATCAAATAATATTCAAACAACATCAAAACATAGAAGGAAAAATTAAAATAAATTACTGGAATTTATAGTGTCAATGGTATTTGTTCGGCTGGATTGAATGCTGTAGGTATTAGTGTGAGATTTCAGGGTGGGATCAAGCGCTCTACATTGGTCTAACTCTACTGCCATTGAAGTCAGTGGCAAAACATGGGAGCAGGGTCAGTGCTGAACACTTTGAAAAATCCCATCTTTGATCATTCTGAAAGCTGCAGCTGGAAAGGCCCCTCCCCCCTTGGCAACAGGATGGGGGAAGTTCTGCCACGCACTGGGAGTGCTAGATTGATAGGGTGCACCCCTCTCTGCAGCAAACATGGCTCCCCAGAAGCAATATGCGCAGAGCAAGTGGAGATGGGGATAAGGGAAGGGGCAAAGCCAGAATCTTCTCTTCTGTGGGGATTCTCTGGTCCTCCTGCTAATGCTGTGACACCGGTGGCTAAAATGGGTTTGGCAGAGCAGCTCTGCAGCCACTTTACTGCCTGGGGTGGGCAAAGTTCCTTTTAATTGTGTCCCTTTTCACACTCTATGCTTGTTGGGTGGTGACCAGAGCCTTGGATTTGGTCCTTATCTCAGATTAGTTAGCCAGTATTTTGGCTCCCTGTAATGTCATTTATTCTTTGTTGTTCATATTTTCTCCACCAATGTATCTGTTCCTGTTGCGCTAGCTGATGGCTTTGGGATATACTGGGTGAAATCCTGGCTCCATCGACGTCAATGGTAAAACTCCCACTGACTTCAATAGGGCCAGAATTTCACCCCTTAAATATTTATTTACTGGTGTCCCCTAGCAGAGATTTAATAAGTCTCTCTACTAAGTACAGCAGAGCAATAAAGGAGCCATTTGCAGGTTATTAAACGCAAAGCAACGCTGAGGAGTCCCGTAACCATAGAAGCAGTTTATTCTGCTTATGGCTCCAGCACCACGGCCATTATTCCACACAGACAATAACAAAAGAAGAATCAACAAATCTGGGACGCTTCTCTCATCACATCATCCATCACAGTTACAATTCTATAAATATTTGAATTTTAAAATACCAGGTACTCAAAGAACTCCCTCGTCATTATTACTACTAGCAGAAATAGTATTAGTTTGCCTTTCCTGAAAGATACAACATAGAATTTCTGACTGCACTGCCTAAAGGAGTGGTTTTCAATCTGTTTTCATTTGCGGACCCCTAAAAAATTTCAAATGGAGATGTAGACCCTTTGGAAATATTAGACATAGTCTGCCGACCCCAGTGGTCTGGGGACCACAGGTTGAAAACCACTCGTGTAGAGTGAATCTAGTTGAACTTAACATCATTTCGACCATGCAATGGCTAAGTAGCACCTTGACCTTTCTATTTCACAAGGGTTTTTCAGCCTTTTAAGGTTGTTGGAACTTGGCCCCTTATTTGAAGTCAAACATTTTGACAACCCCTTACGTTTACTATAAAAGTAAAAGTGTATAAATGATAAGCCTATATAATACAGCTACATTTGACCTCACAAACTTGGAAGGTGTTGTGAACCATGAAATAATTCTGAAAATTGTATTTTCTCTGCTTTAGATCGTAATAACATTTTCAATGCCTTGCAACCTCCCTGATTGCCTTCCATGTCCCGGTAGGAGTTACAGCTAGAGCAGGGCAAATAAATGATTTTTCTGTACAGTGGCAGTTCCAAAAAAGTTGAAAATAAATTTGATTTCGGTTCAATCAAATCTGAAATGTCTACAAATTTTGATTAGTCAAAAAAGTGCATTCTGGGTCTCAACATGGGTCTCCAGCATCCACTGTGAGCACCCTAACCAATGAGGTAAAGGTTATATGGTGGGGGGAAGAGGGAAGCAGCACCACTTCCACCTCTGGCTGTTTTGTGAATGGCTGAAAATGTTCATGTTCAATTTGTGAATAGTTTCAGGTCGACCAAAACTGCATTTTTGGTCAAATAAACTATTAGTTTGAAAAATTTTTCTCAGCTCTAGCAGTGACCCACCAGTTCAAAAACACCGTATGAAGGTATTGCTCCCCTTTCCACCACGCTCTGTCTGCCTGCCCATCCTTCAGTCAAACACATACACTGTTGTCTGTAGACTGGGGCCTCAGATTGTGAGCTCCAGGTCAGGAACTATATAGATTCATAGCTACTAAGGTCAGAAGGGACCATTATGATCATCTAGTCCGACCTCCTGCACAACGCAGGCCACAGAATTTCACCCACCCACTCCTGCGAAAAACCTCTCACCTATGTCTGAGCTATTGAAGTCCTCAAATCGTGGTTTAAAGACTTCAAGTAGCAGAGAATCCTCCAGCAAGTGACCCGTGCTCCATGCTACAAAGGAAGGCTGTCTGAAAACCACCTAGCACATTGTGGGCAATACCACAGAACCAACCAACCAACAACTAATATTTATCATGCCCTGGGTTTTACTATCTTCATCTTAGATTATAAAAACGGAAAAAGCTTTATCATGTATGACTTTTTAAAAAATTATCAGCAAATTTCCTGTAAAATTTACACAGGATGTGTCTCCTCTTACCCCATTTCTCAATGTCCACATGTGTTTTCTGTAATAATCTGTCTGCTAGCCTCACGGTGAGTCCCATTCCTAGAGGTATCCCTTTGCACAATGACAATTCTCCTTCATTTTTGACTGAATTAAATTCTAAAGCAGGCCACAATTAAATAATACATTTTCTGCATGAATATTCTTAGGCCATAAGGAAAAAGAGGCCCTGTGTTCACACAGTACAATGCAACAAATGAACCAGAAATATACAATCCACAAAGACGTAAAGGACAGAGAAAGACTATGGTACATCAAGGCTTTCCCCAATTATTTTCCCTTAGGCACTGAATTATATTTTCCTGTGTTAAATCAAAACAACACACCTTAATATACTGCGTGTGCAAACAAGAAGGGTTTGGGCTGTCATCCAAATTGACAAAAACAGAGTTGTTCATCTGTAATAATGAGGGTAAAAGTGGGATAAGATATTTAACTAGCTGTGCTGAGTGTTGCTCACATACACAGGATAGAGCTGATTGCTAACTTTAAGGTAGACAAGGACTTGACTTCCAGGAATATCTCAAAGTGATCTTGGGGTTTTTCACTATCCTCTGCAGCATGGATCATGTACTAAGACTGGGAAGTGTATCCTCCACTCGACTGTAGGGTGAGCAGATGTCCTTGTTTTCATCAAAAGTTCTAAAGTAAAATTTTCAAAACCATCTAAGTGATTTAGGTGCCTAAATCCCATTTTAAAGAGTGACATGCTCAGTTTTTTTAAAGTATTTAGGCATTACCGTGCTTAGCGTCACAATGCCTAACCGATTTAGGAGCCTATGTCTTATTTTCAGAAGTGACAGGCACTTGGGAGCCAAAATCCCATTGATGATCAATAGGATTTAGGCTTCTAAATCAGCAAAAAGAACAGGAGTACTTGTGGCACCTTAGAGACTAACTTGCAACATTGAGTACAGCAACACCTAAATGCCTTTAAAAATCTGGGCCAGCACTTGGCAGCCTAAGACTCACTGAAAGGCAATGGGACTTCAGAGTCTAAGTCACTTCAGGTTTCAGAGTAACAGCCGTGTTAGTCTGTATTTGCAAAAAGAAAAGGAGTACTTGTAGCACCTTAGAGACTAACCAATTTATTTGAGCATGAGCTTTCGTGAGCTACAGCTCACTTCATCAGATGTATACCGTGGAAACTGCAGCAGACTTTATATACACACAGAGATCATGAAACAATACCTCCTCCCACCCCACTGTCCTGCTGGTAATAGCTTATCTAAAGTGATCATCAGGTGGGCCATTTCCAGCACAAATCCAGGTTTTCTCACCCTCCACCCCCCCACACAAATTCACTCTCCTGCTGGTGATAGCCCATCCAAAGTGACAACTCTTTACATAATCAAGTCGGGCTATTTCCTGCATAAATCCAGGTTTTCTCACATCCCCCCCACCCCCATACACACACAAACTCACTCTCCTGCTGGTAATAGCTCATCTAAACTGACCACTCTCCAAGTTTAAATCCAAGTTAAACCAGAACATCTGGGGGGGGGGGTGGGTAGGAAAAAACAAGAGGAAACAGGCTACCTTGCATAATGACTTAGCCACTCCCAGTCTCTATTTAAGCCTAAATTAATAGTATCCAATTTGCAAATGAATTCCAATTCAGCAGTTTCTCGCTGGAGTCTGGATTTGAAGTTTTTTTGTTTTAAGATAGCGACCTTCATGTCTGTGATTGCGTGACCAGAGAGATGGAAGTGTTCTCCGACTGGTTTATGAATGTTATAATTCTTGACATCTGATTTGTGTCCATTTATTCTTTTACGTAGAGACTGTCCAGTTTGAC